TATGTTTTAACATAAACTTCCTTTTTAATTTATATTGTCAGGATAATTAAGATGCTTCTTGTAAAACAAGTCACATTGTTTATTTACACAGTACAAATCTGTATACATACTGTAGACACTGTAAAATGCTACACAGAGGTGTCAGAGTCTGTGAAGGAAGAAATGTATAATTATGTAATAAATGTTTTATATCCTGACCTCTTTTAGGAAGCCTCAACTCAAAGCTCCTCCAGATTTGCTTGCATTATGTATGCAGCCGTGTGCAGTTTTAATCTCATTCTGCCCGTCTTCCTCTCCTCCTGAGCTCTCTTTTCAACCCCCCATTTCATGCATACAGGGAAACTGCACTGTTACATCTGCACACACACACACGCATACTGCGTTCAGCCCACAACTGCAGCGTCCTCGGGGACAGCCATAAGAACGACATCACCGGTGAAAAGGCTGTCCCTCCATGGCATGGATCCAGAAAAGGCTGGGTTTGCCTCTGATCCAGATTTTACAGAAGATAATAACCTGCTGGCTGAAATGTGCACATTGAGACTCAAGAGTGTAAGTGTGCTTTAGAGGCAGGATGGGATGGCTGTTTAATCACATGAAAGAGGAAGGCCAAGGATTGAAGACATGAAAGAGAAGAGTAACCTTCCTGAGATCAGATGGATTATTATCATTGTGTGCTTTGAGTGATGCACCTGAATGACAAATAAATAAATATGGTTTAAAATGCTGAAGTTCTTCTGCTCCAGTTTTAACCCTCACCCATTGCTCCTCCCCCTTTTGGCCATGCAGCATAGTCAGCAGGCTCCACAGTCTTCAGTGAAGGTCACTGAATGATCCCACAGTGTGGAACAGGAATGAGACTGGTATGCTTTATAAATAGTCTGGCCGTGTGGCACACCCAAACCACAACTCTATCTATTTGTTGTCTCTCAAACAACCTATGATTATATCTGATTGACGAGAAAATCTGCTACTTTTATTATCATTTGAATATTTCCCACAGCCTATACCTCTCTGGCTAATATCACTGGAAAAAAACAGAGTGGGCAGAGTACTAACAAAATTAATCACGTTTAATCCTTCTTACTATTTATAGACACAGGCATTTTTTTTTTGGCCAGGAATAAGAAGTAGCTTTGTCACAGAAACTGGGATGAATCAGGGACAGTGGAAAAAAAAAAGGAGTAAAAGCAGAGTGAGCATTTGTACACACGCTTACACTTTGATATTGTCATGCTATCTCCCTAGAGCAAAGTTCAAGTAGAAAACTGTATCATGGTCTGTCTGCTCTACCTTCTGTAAAAGGAGACAGCTGACTTAACTTAAAGAGAATGTCACACTTGCCACTCCAACGTAGGCTGAGTATCACTGTGTGTTTCAGTCTCTAGGGCAACACACTGCTGCTCTGTGGAGAGAGAGAACAGTAAAACCTTTGGGACTGGTCTTTATTGCTGTTTGTTTGCTGGGCTGATGTAAGTTTTTCCTTGTTTGGAGCTGAGCTTTAGTGGTCACGATAACCCCAGTGAAGAGTAGCTGTGCTCAAGGGGAACCTGACAAATATTAGATCAACCAATGGCCCCCAGGATGATGGTTCATTTCTGTGATTTTGGTTTAAATGTTCCCTTTTACAAGATTTTGATACATCAGAAGTCTTCTTGAGATCCACTCTGCCATGGTACCAATTGAAATAGCTTGGCGTATTACCCATCTCATTCAATTGAAATGTAACAAGACCATATCCGGACATACAAGAAATATTTTAAATTCTAATTTGGCTATTGTTTGGAAAAATTCCCGAGCACATTCATGTTGAAAAAAATAAAGTTGAATCAATAAAGCGTTTTTTTATTAAATGTAAGAATATTTGCCATTTGGGGCGCAGATGGCCTAGTGTTTAGGTCACGCCCCATATTATAGAGGCTACAGTATATTCCTCCAAGTGGGCGGGTTCAAGTCCTACCAGTGGCTCCTTTCCCGCATGTCATTCCCCACTCTCTCCTGCTTTTCCTACTATCCTGTTAAATAAGATCATAAACTTCCAAAAATAAATCCTAAAAAAAAGATTGCTTGTATTTTACTATTTTGGTGACTTTGGAGGGCAAGAAACAAACACATTGAAGTTTGACATATGGACTTCAATAATTATTTTCAAAACTTCAGTTGTAGTCAGCAGTTGTTCCTCACTAAGTCAGATTTTTCGCTTTGTCACATTGTTTTAAAAGAACTATTACATTGAAATATTATCAACAACACTTTAGGTCTGTATTAAATAATCTTCTTTTAGTTACCTGCTAAGAGTATTTAAATATTAGATATCTGGGCAGTTAAAACTTCACAACCTGCTTCTCTTAAAGAAATAATCATGGTGTTGATTTGAAAGCTTTCTTTGACTTAGAAGACAAAATGCTCTGAATGTGAATAGTCTAAGCAAGGGATGTTTCTGGATTAGACCAACGACTCTGCGTTAACACTTGTGCCTTAACAGAGATCATACATTGGTCCATCAGTGGCTTAACTGTTTAGATGTTTGACAAATGGTGTGTGTGTGTGTGTGTGTGTGTGTGTGTGTGTGTGTGTGTGTGTGTGTGTGTGTGTGTGTGTGTGTGTGTGTGTGTGTGTGTGTGTGTGTGTGTGTCCTCCTGATGTCAATGTGAGATAGTGAAGACACACAGTGAGTTCTAAGTAGAGACAGTATGTGGTGTCAGTTGTAAGCCTTGTGTCTAAATAAAGGTTTTACCTTCAACCTTAGAAAGTGGCCACCTCCAGCTGCCACATTAGCACCAGTGAAGGGAGTGTGCAGCATTTACATGAAACATACATGACCCAGGAGATCACATAAAACATAGTCCATAACATCCTCAAATTGTGATAAATTCTACTTGGTAATTTTATTAAAAATTAAACATATTGTTTCACTATGATTCGGGTTTTTCTGTGCTTAATGCAATTTTTAATTATTGACCAATTTTGGGCTACACTGTTTGATTAAGAATCAGGTGCATGAATAGTGCATTTTGCTGACATCACTGAAAAAGAAGGGCAGAGATAACATCATCTGTTGTTATATTTGGCTCTCTGCACCAGGGCACACAGTTCCCTGAACTGTTGTTTTGAAATCTAAAATACCAGAAAGCCAGGACTTACAGGTGACCAGTCTTCTGTTGACCCCAATTTCAACTGAGCCCCAGAGGCCCTGCTTGCCTAAGAGGCTCATGGCATTATACAGAACAACCTGAGAGAAGGCCCCCATAAGTAATAGTCACTTTGGTTAAAAGGGGTCTTCCAAATGTGGAGAGGCAGCACGGATCCTGTTTCACATGACGCGATCACATAGAGAGCACACTATGGCTTCAGTTATCTTTTACTACAACACAATGTGTGCTACATTCTTAGTCTCATTAGGTTTATTTTGTCTAGCCGTTTTTGTGTTTTTCTTTATTCCTCATAAAAGCCTTATTGTTCATTGACACTAAATATTTTATCATTTGAAATCCTTTTGGATAATTAACGTCCCTGACTTAATCTTAATTCCTCTTAGTGCTGGACTGCCAATGAACCATGAATATCTACTGAAGTAACCACACATCACCAGTGCTAATGAATAATTTACAGACAAAACAGTTTTAACTGTTCACCATCACAAGTCTGTGAGCTGGAAGATAAAGAGCAGCTTCTTTTCACATGCTGCTGAGTCACCATCAGTGTGTCGCTGAGTGGAACTGACAAGCTGGCATGAAAAATACTCCTGCTAATGATGCTCTCTCTGCTGGAGCCACCTTTCAACCAGCTGGACTAAAAACAAGGTCATGGTCTTGGATTTGAAATACAAAGATTTAGGTCAGGCAAAAGAAAAAAAAAGGCCCAAGGTACCTGGTGGACTAAGTCTGTTTGTGTTATTTGATTATTGCAACCCCAGTTAATGATTCACAGGATTTCAGACAGCTGCATGGCACATCACTGGAACATGGTGGTTCTTGATGTAAAAATAGTAGAGTGGACCCACCACACTGAATTATGAATGATATTCATGAAAAAATAATAACTTTGGAATGGAGAGCTACACATATGATACACACAAATATACACACATTGTCCAAACTACTCTCTTGATTCTTCAGCTTTTAAGTATGACTCTCTGGAGGCTATACATATTTTTGGATCAGCTGTATATTATTTTTGTCAATCACAATCTTAGGGTGTAATTCAAAGTTCCCTCTATATAAACAAATGTTTGCTAAACACCCCTGCCTTATAACAGCCTTTGGTTTTGAATAATTGCAGGTCATCTCTTAAACTTAAGATACAAATGTATTTTAGTAGTTTTAACCTAGAAATAACCATATGTATACATATGAGACATGTGGGGTGATATTTTCTTGTATATATATTTAATAGATAAATATTCATCTTCTCTTTTTAAGTACTTGAAAATTAATTAAGATCGATCTATCTTAAAGAGATTGACAGATGTTTTTTTGGCTAGGTTTTTTTTACCTCTGAAATAGAATAAAACACACAAAAGAGGGTCGCTGTGGCCCCAAGATTCTCCCCCTGCTTCGTCTGTGAAGTCTGTATATGTACGAATGTGATTAGTTACTTTTGGACTGCAAATCTTACCTGTACAGCTCCTCCATGGCACATTTCGTGTTTTTATAGTTCTTGTCAACTTTCTAATTGCTTCTATATATATTTTTTTTATCTTATTCTATTTAAGTTGTCAGCAGGAGCTCTGCTGTTTTTATATTTTCTTTGTAAATTGTTTTGCACCAAAAAGGCAAGTCAAATAGTCAATAATAAATATTTGCAATAAATAGCGATTCTGATTCTGATGGTCAATTACACGTACATAGCAACCACTGCCATCAGTGTGTGAATGGGTAGGTGTGACCTGCGGTGGAAAAGCGCTTTGAGATGACTACAAGCTCAAGTCCATTTATATTTACAAATAACCACCATATATCTGGTATTTAAATGTCCATTACAAGAAACATATTCCCAGATATGACAGAAGATTCCTTTATTGTTCTTCAAACATCATAACCACAGTGTTGCATATAAGATACTCTGATGGCATCACTTAATTAATTAAATGAGTTAATAGACACAATATGTAATGAACAAAAATGGCCTCCAATGTTTTTGAAGACACATCACACCGTTTGTCTGCATTAGTAGAAAAATGATGTTTTAAAGGCACATTAATAGAACATCAACAATATTGCATGCAGTCCCAAGAGACAAAAAGCAGCATCAAAGTTACAACTATATCACAGTTTAGTGTTTCACACGTAAGAATACCTGATATAACACGAGTCATACAGCATACAGAAATATTGCTTTGCTTTGATTATTGCTGTAAGAAAAGTGAACTATGTGCATTTATTTAAATAGATTGTTGGGAGTATTCAAGCAGCATACAGACAATGTAAGGAACTCTATTTATACATTTAAACACTTGCATTTAATCACCAATGTTTAAAGACGTGTAGTTTGCATAATTATTGATACTGTCACATAAAAAAGGAAACAGTATTATTTAACACTTTCTCTCTTTTGATGGTGATCCTCAGTTCCCTGAAAGTTCCATTGAATCACTGAGGCCAATCCCATTAGATTACCGTTTTATCCCAGTAATCATGGTGCAGTAAATTTGCAGGTCAAAATACGTCTGAGAATCTAGGCTAAATAAGGTTTTAAATTAGAAGCTCAAAATGTTTCTTTCAAGAGGCAATTTAATTAAAAACAGGTGCCAATGTTTTGGGCCACACTGTTGATTTAAGGACTTTTTAGTCAATAAAATGTCAGAGTAGAAAATAATGCCCATCACAAGTTCTGACTCTGAAATAACATTTATTGTTATCTGACCAATATAAGCGAGACACATATAAAACAATATTTAAAATCTACTCGCAAAAGAAGTCTTTCTGTTTAACTTTTAATATCTGATTAAATCTGTTGTCCATTTTCTGGACCCTACTTATAAGTAGAAACATAAATGAACAGGAAAAAAGCATTAGCTGTTACAAATATTGTTATAACTCTTCATGACATCTTTTGACCCCAAGGCTGACCGAATCAGTGAAACGATGTTATTATCTTGATACATGATAGATGACCATTAGTTGTCATATCACTGCAGGCTGTACAGAACTCTTAGCTCAGTCCAGTCTAATATCCAGAACTAAAAGGTGACTGTACCTGCCGTGATTATTCTTCCTCTCTACCTACAACAATCCCCACCATTTGTGCACAAGCAGGTCGTCTCCAGAGCCCGTCTCAAGGAAGCGGTTGCCACATTCCTCCCAGCGACTCACCTCCCCCTTGTTCAACAGCACAAACTTCCACTGCACATGGCACTCTGCAGGCAGGCTGACCACCGTGGCCCAGTGCCCATCCTTGGCCCTCTCAAGCGGGATGAATCCCTTCCAGTTTCCCAGCTCCTGCTGGTCCCCTGTGACAGCCATCGTCTGGTACGGTGACTGGGTGCAATAATGGACGCGGAAGGTAACGTTGACATTCTGTGGCATGGGCTGGACTGCTAGCACCTTTTTGCTATTTTCAGAGTTTTCATCAAGAAGTGAGAGATCGCCGGTTTGTTTGACTTCAGTGGCAGACGGCTTATCTGTTGTGACTATATAAGAGACGTCACATTCAGCAGAGCTCTCCTCAGTGGACAGCTGGTTTGGTTTTGTGTGGTCTTGGGAAATAGACTGGGCAGAAAGGTTCATCCAGGGAAGGACTTGGTAGTTACTATCTGTGATCCATTCGTTATTGTCCATAGTCGCCTCCATTATACTAATCCCAGTCTTGTCAAAGTCCATTGCTTCCTCCTCCTCTGCTTTTGTATCCTCTTTCTTCCCAACACCTACTCGTGCCTCCTTCTCTTTAATCTCTGCGACTTCGACGACAGCCTTCGTGTCTGTCTCCTCTTTCAGCTCATCAGCGAGGCTTGTAACACTGTCTACAATCTGTGCCATAAACTGATCCATCTCTCTGTGGTAACTATCCTCAATCTCAAGGCCAAACATATCCTCATTGGCTGCAAAGGATTCATAATTCATCCAATCCATCTGCTCACTATGGGGTAGCTGGGGATGTGACGGGTAGGGCCCAAATATCATACCTGCTGTATTTTCATTTTTGTAAGATACAGCTACATCATCTGAAAAACAACTATATTTGGATTCTATCTCTGCAGAAGACGCTGAATCATAATCCATCACTGGTACTACGATATTCTCCACAGTGACATCAAACACATTACCAGCATCTTGCAAATCTGGGCTGACAGCCATGCTGGAAATCCCACTCTCTTTCCCAACGCCTGGGGATGATAAGTCATTATCCCCCAGCTCACTTTGCTTCAAAGATGGGAAGTAAATTGGACACACGGGAGGGCTACTGTTTGCAGTCATGACAGGAGCAGCAAGAATGGATCCTTCAGGAAAGTCTTCATAGTTTTCCACTGGGTTGCTAAGCATATGTTGGAAGGAAGACATCATGTCTGTATGGGATATATCTTCAGATGTTATAGTTGACTTAATGCTAGCCTGGTCAAAAGCAAGTACATCAGAGTTATCCCTCAATGTATCAAGAGTTTCAGTATGTTCCATGCTGTCTCCTGATTGGTCTTGGGAGGAGGGCATCATGTTAGGATGAGATTTTACTTCAGGCATTAGAGGTTCAGTAAGGCTAGCTTCAATGCAAGCAGGTGTAGTAACCACTATCTCATCGAAGGTTTCACTATTTCCATTGTGATCGCTTTGCTGGTCTTGTGAGGGGGGCAACACATCAGGAAAAGACATCCCTTCTGCCACTGAAAATGAAGAGAGGTTAGCATCATTGCAAGCAGGAGTGTCAACCCCAGTTTCATCAAAATCTTCTGAGTTTCTCATGTGGTCACTTTGCTGGTCTTGGAAGGAAGACAACATGTCAGGGGTAGAAGTTTCTTCTCCCATTAAAAGTGCAGTAGGACAAACATGATCGCAAGCAGGTGTATCAGACCCATAACTAACCCCGGTTAAATCCAGATTGTGATCTTCAATGTAGTCACTTTCTTGGTCATGGCATATCGATGGCATGTAAGGGAAAGTTTCTTCAAGTGTTTCAGAGGAAGTTACTTTTTCAACCGTGTCAACATCAGCGACACTCCCCTTGTCAAGCATTTCATTATTAACGATTTCTACCGTGTGCTGCTCACTGTTGCAAGATGGCACATATGGAAGAGGTACATCTTCAGCCATCACAGGGGAAGTAATGTTTTCACCATCACAAGCAACACTATGCAGAACAGCAGCCTCGGTTAAATCTTCATTTTGAATCATTTCCACACTTTGTTGATCTCTGATGTAAGACTGAACATCAGGCTCATACACACTGTCAGTGCATTCTTCAGGCGACAGCACTGTTGGGTCTCTTTCATTGTTTTCATTGCCGGTATCATGTGACGGCATTTGAGATCCAAGAATAGTAGAATCAGTGTCTTCAGTTAGAGAAGGGTCAATTTCATCTTCTTTAAGCGTTTCTTTAGAATCAGATGAAAAGTCAGGGGAATCTGAAATTCCAGAAGTTTTATCTTTGTCATCAGTGGTGATATCAGAGACGCAGTCGTCAATGTTTTCAGCACTTGTGGGCACGCTCAAACAGGGCAGAGCAGGGCTGGTTTCAACACTCAAACTTTCACATTCTTCATCACTTGCTAGATTTTCCTCTTTCACTTCATTGTCTTTATCATAAAGAACATCAACCTCTTGACTACAAGTAGAACCATTGTCCTCATTCTGTTCAATCTCTACATCTCTCTCATTGCTCTGAGCTGTATGCATGTCAACAGCTGTAAGGTCATTCATGCAGTCTTCATCAGTGACCTCTGCACTATCCTGAATGGGAAGAATCCCCTCATCCATAGTATGATCACTCTGGTCCTGATTTGTCCACAACAGATTTGCTTCTTCCTCAAACGTTGAGGAGTGAATCACAGCTTGTTGAGGAATTAGCCGGTAATCTTCACACTCCTCCTCTGCCTCTTCACACTCAGCTTTCTTTTGATCCTCTGTAGAGAGGTGATGAATGCTAATATTACTGCAAGCAACACTCTCTGTCTTCTCCTCCTCAAACTCTTCATCTTTGACATTACAGACACAGGGAACAGGTACATCAGGATCTTCCATGTTGGACCCCACACTGTTTGTCTCAGTTTGACTACAAGTTAATGAAGATTCATTGACATGTAGTCCCTCAACATCATCATTTTCACTTGTATGATTGATTTCCTCGTCTTGTCTGGTTTTCCCGTCAGATGCGTCCTCGTATGTGGTCACAACCTCGTCTTCCTGGCATTCTGCCTTTAACACCTGAACACAGAAACAGAAGGTAAATATCTCAGGTGTAGCGCTTTCAGACAGTATAGCTAGACAATACAAACTAGACACAGAGGTATTCAGACAAATTGGCAGATCTCATTGGCTGTGCTACTTTGCAAACACAAAGAGAACGAGGTCAAACAGAAATGGATTTAGGAGAGAGAAATATATCCCCACTGGGTTTCTGAATGTAGGAATACTTTAGACAAAGTTGGAAGTACACTTGTTTGTATTAATGTGTCATATTTGCTTTCTTTCTGAGAAAAAATTATATCACTTTCATATAACTTCAGGAAATATACAACTTGTTTTGCTTAGCATAGCATACAAACTGGATTAAAGGTTCACCTCTCATTGTCAAAGGAAACAAAATCCACTCGTCTGAACAAATGTAATCACTTTCAAATCTGTCTGCTGAATTTAAAACTACAGCCCTTCATCTGTTTACATATATAACATATTACAATACTGGATAGATCAAAGAAGACAAAGTTTGCCTTTCCACCAAGCAGAAACCTCCACTGTTCAGTTTCTGCAGTTTCTCGAGTGTCCACTTCAGGCTGGATGAAAAAGCTTTTAAAGTCACATACACAGCCATTCTAAAATTCCCATTTTCAAATCAGATGTCAAATATTCACAGCCTGGTCCTGAATAGTTCATTTCTTTATCAGCACACATTGTATAAGGGGTCACTTTTTTTTAAATAACTGATTGGATGATTTTAAGGCTATGAATTATTAATAATAAGCATGGCTAGTTGTAGCTGTATGTCCAGAGGCTTAAGGTCCATCTCAGTTGAAGTTCTTTGCCTGTTACAATATGACAGAAAGTGAGTTTGAGATAGCGTTTCACTTATGGGGCTTCAGAATTTGGCTTCAGAAACCAATGGTGGATGTCAGTGAGACTATGTCCATGTTTTCTATACAGTCTACGCTTTAAACTCCTCTGTAACTAAGTAAGTAACAAGTTACAAATCACTTGTAAAGATGATAAACGGTGGCTTTAAGAGTTGATGTCACCCCAAAGCTGAAGCTGCATAGCAGACAGAATGTGTTTCTGATGGATGTTTACCTTGTGTTCATCCTCACTGTTCTCTTCATAAATCACGTCTGGCTCCATCAGGCAGCTACTCACATCATGGACTTCTTCTATCACATCCTCAATAGTATCATTTGTTGCACTGTAGTAGCAATCGACTGCTTCCTCAACCACCATTTCAGCGTCAGTGTAAGTATCACTTTGCAGGCTCTGACTGACCACTTCTGGATAAGTGTCAGCTACTCTGTAAGAATCCCTCATGACTGCCATTTCCACTGTGTCATCTGAAGAGGGGTGCTTGTTTTCTGGTTCTTGGATGTCTTTCATAGAAGAATAAGATGAAGGTTGTTTCTCAGCAGCAGCAGCAGCAGCAGAGCGGTGCCTGATTATGTGATCACTTTGAATCAGATCAAAATCCTCCTTCACATCTAGTGAGCCTTCATAACCCAAGCCTGTAACACAATATAACACAAAAAGACAATGTGTTATACATTAAGACAACTTCAATTGTTATTTCTATTTGTAATACTCTCCACAAATTAGACTTTCAAGTCATTTGAAATGTATCCAGCTCATTAGGTTACAGGCATCTAGGGTTGAAAACAGCAAACTGATGGGAGATGAGATGAGATAATTATCATAATCAGTCCTCCACATTTCATCATCATTACAGATACTTGAGGTTTCTGCCTCTTTAAGGAAGTTTTTCCTTGCCACTGTAACTTTGCTATATGTTGCTACGTGCTGTGCTCATGATGGATTAATGCTGAGTCTTTGTAACATAACAATGAGGATGTCTTTTACCTGCTCTTTTGTAAAGTGTCTACAGATATTTGTACAGATACAAATAAAAATGGATTGATTGATCTATCTGTGTTGAATCATTTAAACACCTTAGTTGTCTATCTGGAGTAAAGCTTTATTACTTTATGGACTTGTGATGTAGGTTTAGTATGCTGTTCTAAGCAAAATGTAAATGCAAAAAATAACTGGGTCTTTATTACATTTGTAATTAAGTGTAAGAAATACTTTATTATTATAGAGGGTTATTAAAGGACAATTTTACTTAGAGTAGGTTGTCTCACAACCAGAAAGTTGGGGGTTCGATCCCCAGCTCCTGCAGCCACATGTTTGATGTGTCCTTGGGCAAGACATTTAACCCAGAGTTGCTCCTCCCACTTCATTGGCGGAGTATGAATGTGTTTGAATTGGATTAGTTACTTCTGATGGTCACTTAACATAGCAGCCTGAGTTAAACCTGCAGTGTAAAAGCACTTTGAGTAGTCAGAAGACTAGAAAAACGCTCTATAAGCTGAAGTCCATTTACCATTACCATATATATTTTTAGAGATGGTAATTTAGATCTATGATAGTCTGGTGCATTAGGCTAGATGAGCTCATTCTTAAAATCTTAAAGTAAGCCCCATGTAACCCCTGCAGGAGGATGAATGTAGCCTGATAAGAATGAAATGCAAAATGTCTACCAACTTTAAACAAATGTAGGCTACTAACAAATGATCTATACCTACCAACCAACCCATGATACCCAAGTGTGGCTTTATAGTACTCAGACTGCGTGATGAAAACCTATTCATATCTCCTATAGTATCACTGTAAAAGAACTCAGCTTGGTATAGACTACTTAGATATATCGTCTGCATCAGCCTAAATGTGCTCTGTTTAAAGTTAGATTCAAGAAGACAGGGGTCTTGTAAATGACCATATCCCACAGTGACCAGTACATGTACAACACCGCAGTGAAGTAATAACCAGTTCATAACATTATTAGTGGATCTTTTTTTTTTTTACCTGTTGCCATAAGGGAGCTGTGGGATTCCTCTGGGCTCGGCTGGATCACCGATGCGTCTCCCTCCGCTCCGGGGGGGGTCTGACCATCAGTGTGTGCGGCCGCCGCCGTGGCCTTCCTCCGCTTCCCCTTCAAGGTCCTGTAGATGATGAAACCGGCCAGCACGGATACCATCGCTATGACGGCCACAGCAACGGCGGGACCGTGCCGCCCGATCATGCAGAAGAGTGACGCCAGATCCATGCGTCTCTCCACGGCCACTGTGTTGCCGTTTTTCAGCGACATCGCGATCTAGTGTGAAAAATCCGCGCGTGTGGAGGCCTGATGATCCGAACGAGGCTGCTGCGTGCTGCTCACACTCCGCCGTCTTCTTCCCTCCACGTTTTCAAGTGTTGTGACCTCTTGTTGCTGCAGAGCTGCATAGGAGTGCAGGTGCAGCCTGCTGATTGGCTGACAGGATCACGGGGACGCTGCATTCATTCATAAAAAGGGAAAGGAGCTTGATTTTACAGCCTGGTTCACGCAGACATTCACGATGCTGTCCTTCATGGTAATGGAAGGTCCAGTGTTTGTTACTATACTGGTCATGAAGAAACTCCCGTTTGATGGATTAATCCCATCAAACAGGACAGTTTTCACCTTCACTCGGGATCTATCTGATCACAGTTTCTTTTCATAACGTAGCAATTTAGGCTACCCGATTTGCAATTCTCAAAAAGCTTACTGAATAATACGAAAATCTTAAATTGACACTAGGAATAGGAAACACCACTTTAGTAAAGCATGCTCGATAGACTACAGTTTATATGTTTGGCACACTTGAATCATCTGAGGTTTTATGATTAAATTGTCATATCCAGTCCAGTTACTGAGACTGAATAACATATATTCAGTGCCTGAAGAAGAACAATAATGCCATGCTCCAGAAGCTACACAGATTTAAAAAATAAAATAAATGTTGGCTTATAGGCTGATAATCGTTTTACATGTTCTTTGCAATGCTCAAGCAGCCTGCACTGCTGAGAGAGCCTTTTCTGTCTTTTCAGTTTAGGTAGCCTATATTCCAAAGAAAAAATGCTTTTATGTTAAGACAATAAATACATCTTTAAAATGTTGTAGCTTAATTCATTTGAGATACTTCATTCAATACTACAGGCCTTAAATATAGATATAAGTAAGAGGATAAAATTACCTCAAATTAGCAAAGAAACACATTTCACTTGCACTGCTGTTCCTTATTTTTTAAATTATTTAAAATAACTTAAACATTAGAAAATAAAGAAAAACGAATACAAACGGTGTCCTTCTGTCTGCAATCTCTTAGATGAAATCTGTGATAGAAGATTCAGAAAAATACAGAAAGTTCCAGCATTCTGTTACTCCTCCACTAGGAGGAGTAACAGCTCCTCCTAGTGGAAAGCTGTGGTAATGACAGGAAAGTTCCTGAACACTCCGAAGCTCCTCCAGTTAGAGTATACAAACTGAGACAGTCACACTGCTGAGACAGAACACAACACAAACAACACAGAAGAGAACACACTTTAACAGAGTTTCATCTCACAACAAGAGGACTCAACTCACTGAAGATGCTGTGCACTCATGGACTCCAGTCTGCCCTCAGTCCATTCATGGACTCTTACTAGTCTGTTGGCAGTCTGTGTCCAGAGGTCAAACCTCTGTTCTACTAGCAGGATCCACTGCAGAGAAACATCCAGGAGCTCCACAGCAGCATCCTGGAGGAGACTAGCTAGTAGTACATTATATTACCATTACAGGTAAGATGTCTTACAGTTTTATAAGCCACCCTGGGTCCTACAGGGGGCTTCAGAGGACCTGCTGGGAACAGTACAGCGAGCTTTAAAAGCTCTAAAAGTAGTTCTGGAGAGCGATCTCTCAGAGACTCCCTCGGTGCATTGTTGATGTTCTCTTATACTATGGACTATTGGTTTTTGGGTCCTTATCTCAGTTATGTCCATCATAATGATATCCATTGGAGTTATGTTTTATACATGTGTGTTTCTGTTTTGTGCTGTTTTTATGATGTGTATTGTCTGTATGGAACTCTGTTACAAACTAAATTGCCCCTCTGGGACAATAAAGATTTTCCAATACAATCCATTTTTTTAAAGTGTTCAGTACTAAACAAATACTGTCAAAATATGAAAGTACAAACCATTTTTATTTTCAAATCATATATTGTAAAACCATGAGGTTAACAATAAATCTCAAGAAACAGCTCACAGGCAAGATGATTCAAGGTATTAAGTATTACCCATTATTTTGTAGAAGGTGTGGGCCAGTTTAGAATCTGAGATGTAAATCGTATCAAGAAAATTACATTTCATTATTTTGGATATCTTTTCTGCCTCCCAGCCAGTTGAATGATAAAAATGATACCAATAATAATGAAATCATTACACAGATAAGTTAAAAAAATTACTTATAAAACATGTTGTAGAAAAGATGGGTCACAGTTAGTCACAGCTTGTGTGCTTAATATACCACCTACAGTAAGCACTGACTGCTATCACTCCTATGTAGACCTCTTCTCTTCCTCTGACCATACTGTCATTCCCATTAAGTCAGCTTTGTCCCTTTTCTAAGTCTCTATCTTCACTTGAGAATGGAATCACAATGGACCTGATTTGATGGAGAGAACATTTGTCAGTGCATACTATTCGTAACAGGACTGTAGGACAGTGAGATGTTTGGGAAAAGATGGAGCTGTATGCACATCACTGGAGGGCCAAGGGGGTATTTATTTGAGCTGATCATCATTCATCCACGAGACACAGAAGCATCAATATTCAATCCCCACCCATCAACCCTCATTAGTCATCCGTAATCTGTAATTCACTTCCTGGATTTATTCAGTCCACAGCGACCATAGTCAGTACCCAAAGACATCTCCAGCATGAAGTATGGCAGCCTGTTGATCCTCATCCTTCAGTGAAGAACTAGTGAGACAGAAATGAGCTTTCTAAACATGCTTTTTCGTATGCCACCATGCAGTAAGAGAACTGTTCATATCGTCATGAGCCGGCTCTTAACGCCTGAAACAATGGAAACAGAAGGTTGAACTAAACGGTGCAAAAGTTGAATACAAAATGTACCAACAGCAACCACCATTTACAACAAGAGTGAGGTGTGTTTGTCAGTGAGTCAGTGTGCCGGCTGTGGGCTGAGTGTGAGGTGTGTGCAGCATGTGATATGGTGTCAAACTAACAACGTAGACTACAACACAACCACGGTGCGACAGGGAGCTGTGTGGTAACGCTGACAGGAGGAGGGAGGTGGCGACCGCAAGTATCCTCCAGTACTTTGGTGTCTTTGGCCTGCTGCAGTTAGTGTATTCATTTCATCAACAAGCAGCTCCTCCATAACATCTCCCTCCATTACAGTATGTCAGTCAAACAGAGGAGGAGACTGGTCTAAACAGACCCCCATAAAGTCCTGTTAGTGGTTACAGAACGAGTTCTGAATGTCCGGTTGACACTTGTGCAAATCCTGCTGGAGACTCGAGTATGAGGCTCTGACAGGAAGTGAATCCTCTGCTCTGATGGAAACTCCTTTCAGTCTGTAAGAGGACAGAAATAGATAAATCACTGTAACAGAAAAGTACACAAAGGACAGCTTGTTTTCATCTCAATACATTGCAGTTTTTTCTTCATAGATGATAGGCTAACTGATGGAGATGTAAACTGTCATTATTGTGACACTAATGACTCACAGATCATTCATTCATTGGCTGCACTTCCACCAACCTCACATTCCTTAACATAATATAATCAAGTAGACAATGATCCAGCAGGTCTCAGTTGGAGCTGGGGGTGGTCATGTGAAGATATCACCATGAAGCAACACAACTGAGCACATCCAGTCCCTGTCTCCTGCAGCAGGACAACATCCTTACCCTCCTGACTGGTGTCTCTCACTGCAGTAGACCACAGGAATCTGGTCTGCTGGTAGATGAGAGGACAGCAGCCGTCCCACCGCGGTCCCTTGTGACTTTCTACAAACACAATCACAACAGATAGATGAGTGGTCAGTTCTCTGAAGGTATCAAAGAGTCACAGCTAGCGTGCTTAATGTACCACCTACAATAAGGAGAGACTGCTGTACCTCCTATGTAGACCTCTTCTCTTCCTCTGACCATATTGCTCATATCTCAGTAGTGATGTGAAAAGCAGTTATTTTCAGTGTACTGAATCAGTAGAATCAGTTCAGTAAAGTGATAGAATTTAATAAGCTGAAACACGGCCGAACGTTTAGTTCTGCTCGCGATTGTACTGAGAACACACACACACACACACACTGTACTGACTGAAACACGATCGTTAGTGGATGTTAAAACAGTCAGCTGAGTGAAATTATATGGATATAAAAGCCGTTTGTAAACTGACAGCAGCTATAAAAAGCACATACATTTCTGCGACACCTAAATGTTAAATAATATATTTTCTACTTCCTCAATTTTGGAGACATGAGAGGGAGAAGTAGGGGCGGGCTTTAGCGACACAGAGCTCCCGACCGACTGCGTCCTGTTGGTTCAGTCAGTATGTATCACTGACATGAAAGGAGAGGGAGGGCGGGGCTTTGAGCGACTCTTACGGTCTAGAGAGAGATACGAGACGAGAGCGCAAATTAAGTTGAGAAATGAACAACTCTTTTCAGGAAGTGATTCAGTTCAGTTCGTTCACCCAGATGATTCGTTCGTTTTGAACGAATCGTTCATGACCGACACATCACTATATCTCAGAAAAGACATGAGTCTGCACTCTAACACTGTCCCTGCTCTGCTCTGTATGTGAACTATGATGCAGGATGTGAACTCACCTGTTGACTATTTGTACCTGACATGCAGGTTTCTCAATAATAAGCATGCTGCACGTGTTTGCCCTGTTGTGACTAACATTAAAGTGTGTATGCTGTACAGACTTTTAATAGTGTCTGCTTCTGATGTTGGACCCCTCTCCCTCTCAAACACACACACAGGCTGGTTACGTGAGTTAACGCTACCTAGCTAACTCATAATATGATATTACAGTTACAGTTGAGTAAAATAGTGTGTCATCATGTCAGCAACATAGACTCTGTGCTTAGTAATCAGTATTTACTTACTTTTAAAGTTGATTCCAGGTGAAAAGCTCAAAGCTGTGTTTTCGCTGCTCCATCTGTTGGAGGACGTTAGCTACTGTACATCATTGTTTACAACATTGAGGCTTGATACAACGTGGAAGGGTATTATATTACCCTATTATATTATTATTATTATATTATCCTAATTATTATTAGGGTATTATATTATATTATAATATTATATTATATTAGCCAATATTATTACGCGGGAACTGTGGAGCATGCGCAGAGCGTTTAGGCCAGTTCGGCTCTGGTTAAGTGCTATATGTAAGAATAAATCTCCTCCAAACCGCGTTTTTTAACACAATAAATGGACTCATTCAAAC